TCGATGGCAGAAAGAAATTTCAGTTTATCCCGATTCAGATAAATTTTGTGCGTACATGGTACTTACCAAAGAAATAAAAATGAATTACATCGCCGATTGTCTAAATTCCTCAGTAATAAATTCATAAAAACACTTGCTCCATGTGTGAAAATAAAATTGCATGAATATAATGAGGTCACCGTTAAATCACACCCATTAAGTTTACACACTAGATGACCTCTAAGAGGTAACTAGCGGTCTCTTCAAAGGAATCTTTGATGTTTACAAACCTGTAGCCCTGCCGTTTCTATCCAAAACATCAAAGGAAGTGCCCGGGTGTAGATTTTCCGAGGTTTATGAAAAAAACCATGGAAACTGCTTCAAAAACCTTGGAAATAAACCAGTTTTACAAGGTTTTTTCTTAATTCCGAGGTTTTTTTTAAAACCTTGGAAACTTTATCCAAGGTTTTTGTATAAAAATCCTTGGAAATAAAGAAAACCTTGGAAACTATCTCGGAATTAAACACTCTGCCAAAAATCAGCTCGGAAAAAGCTTGGAAATAAGAACTTTGTCATTTTTTTGCTCGGAAAAGAACTAAGAAAATTTACGTAAAATTTGTTGGAAACACTTTGCCAATATTTAGCTTGGAAATGACCTCGGATAATTGAACTTAACTAAATTTCATCTCGGAAAATGTTAAGACATAATCATGATTTAACTTATAATGGGCATCAAAAGCAATAATCAACAGTTAAAGCAAACTAAGATAACAACCCAACTGTAGATTGCCAATGGATATTTCTTAATCCATGGTCAGAGCAAACAATTGTCCAACAGCATGGAAAGGAGAGATTTGGTCCAGGGAATCAATTTTTAGTATGGACATTGTCAATGGCCAACTTCCTTTTCAATAAATTTGTACTTTAATCTTCTGAAGCCATTTTTGTGGGAGGAATCAATTAAAAAAATTTAAGTGTGAAAACTTGGAAAAGTTAAATACAATGTAAATTCCTTGTTGCCATAAAATACCTTTTATTAATGGCTATAAAGGTATTGTAACTAATCATAATAAGATAAAGATTATTCAAATAACTGATGATCAGAAAGACTTGAAAATTTTATTTTTTTTATTTTCATATTTTTTTTATTATTTATGACTTATAATTATTGTTACTAGATATCTTCTCCATTTTTAAGAATAGATAAAAGAGCAAAACTTATAATTATACAAAAAGAATTTAACAATCAGTGTTTTTGTCTATTAGTTTCTAAATGCATCAGTATTTTTCCTGCAGTTTCTTTCTATATATAGACTTAACTTAGGGTTTCTTGACAGCCTGTAAGCAACACTGAAATAAGAATGCTATTAATCTTTAATATATGTTTTTATGCCATATAAAATAGTATATTCTACTAAGCAAGTCTGTGACATACATTCAGATAACAATTTACTCTGCCATTAATTATGTGTACAATAAACATAAATAGTTATTAATTGTCCTTTTAATATATAATTATGTACAATTAATGTGTAAAATATGTACATGTATGCTTGATACTTTCTTATAATTAAGATAAATAAATACTGCATCCACTAAGTTTTCACAGACAGAATATAACACACTGATCAGATAAAACTAATGGCACCCCAGGTGGTTCCCTCTTATAATCTATGCATGATCAATCTTCTCATTGAGCATTCTGGGATAGACCAGATTGTTCCATGTGATTATTCAGGGGGAGTCTGGGTTTTTATACAATCCAAAACAGTCTAAAATGACACTGCAACTGTGATTCTCTTATAATTTTCAAGTTTTACTTTTATTTATCATTTGATATATTTGTACCTTCAATAAAATTAATGTAAAAATAAAATGATGATGGCTTTGATATTTTGAGATCACCCCTGTTTCACATTATGATTGCCCCTTCAGTTATACTGTTGAAAAATTTGAATCTCAGACATTAATGGGTCAAGTGGTTATAGTTGGAAGTAGTGCAAACCTGGATTTATTTTAAGCAATTTTGGACATATCTTGTTTTAAATGTTAGGGAGCATATTTTGGAATTTTCAAAGAAAACATTTATCTAAGTGTGACAAGATTCAGGAAATGTTTGGTTGTTGTAATTGAACCTAAAGATCAATGACCTGGGACAGGAAGATAAACAAAAGAAACATGATAGTAAAAAGGTTCAGGTAAATAATTTTAAATACATTTATGCATAAAATCTGTTGTTGTTTTTTTTTTCAAATAAGTATTAAATACAAACTATTTTAGATCTATATTTTTAACCTAAATGTAGGCTAGTTCAAATACAATTGTTTAGAGGATATTTTATGAGTATTATAATGTTATTTTTGTCTATGATTGTATTGAACAAGATGAGTGCATGAAACTATGATGACATTATTTATAAACTTTCATCTTTCATCTATTATTTGAATCTACAAATTTTTAATTACAGAGTCAGCTTGTAAGGAAGTTTGCAGGACTGTTCCAAACTACAAGAAGATGGCAATCCAGCTTTGCTGTGTTTTATCATAGTATATCATTGGCATCCAGGCATCGATTAAGGAAGCCAACTGTAGACCAGGAAAGGCTTCAAGGAATATATTACAGTATGTTTTTGTTTTAAAACTAGATTTTGAAAATTTCAATTTGAAATTTGAATGAATGAAGGTTTCTGGAACTGATTTTTTTATTGATACTTTGTTGGTTTTTTATTGATACTTTGTTGAAAATGCTGTTAATGTTACATGATGACTCTCCAGCTTTATTGATGCAGATGTCACTTTGAGCAGACAGATACAATTAGTGTAGGCAATCGGAATCACCTTATGAAAAGCGTTATTTTTTGCAATATTTTTAGAGTGCTTTAGGTTGTAACATCCAGTATGACATTATCTAAAATAATAGTAACAGACATCGTTTCTTTTCTAAACATCGCAGAATTGTCACACTGCTTACCAAAGTTTTCTTGAAATCCTGACACTAAGTACTGATGAAGAAAAATAAGAAATCAACATGAAAAAAATTAAATTCACTATTTCAAAACAGTAGACAAACATTTAAAAGTAACTACAGAAAAGGTCATTTGAAAATATTAAAGCCTTCATTTTAATCAATGGTCTTGAACAACTTGTAATTCAAGTAGTTTTGGATTTCACAAAAGTGCTGATTTTTTAAAACAATATATATCAACAGTGAACTGATATTTTTGTCTATGGAAACGTTTAAGGAATGTATCATTTTTTTTATTGATTAATAAAAAAGAAATTAAATGATGTAATTCTGATTGCCTACACATACTGAACTGTCCTGAGTATAACCACAGGTGTTCCTTAATCCTGGGCTGGATAGCTCCCTCAGAGGGAAGCAGCCCATCCTGGCTTCAGGAGTCAAAAATACAATGTTGTAAGGCAAGTAGTTTGAAGTCTTTGATCCTGACCACATGGAGAGGGAAGCGCCCAATGGAGAGGGAAGCGCCCAGTGGTGATTTTATATAACTGTTTTTCTAACTTCTTTCAATGGCTGTACTTTATTAAATATTTACTTTATTTATTTCAGGAATTGTATCCTGGAGCATTTTCCACATGTGACCCCTGTGATGGTGAGGGAAAAACTAAGGGACATTTAAAAATCATGAAGAGTAAACAGGAATTCAAAAGATAGATATTTGAATACATTAAAATATAGCCGGATACCAAAATATTATAACTGAACATTGAGTGTAATATTTACCATTAAAGACTTCTAACTTAACTTTTCATTTGTAGTGCATTACTATTTACTTCACACTGACATTAAATGTTTAAGTGAGTCATGTGATCATTTTTTTGCTCTGTATTATTACAAAGAAGTTTCTTAATTCCTTAACAGGACAATATAATTGCTCTTTTCAGAATATTTCATTGGATGTTATATTTTCTGATTTTCCATGGATATTCTAGAAATTTCCAAGGTTTTTGCTCAAATAAACCTTGGAAAATTCTCTGATGCCTTTAAGTAAGAATCCTCGAAAATATAACAGTATTCCCAGTTGTGAGAAACTTTCCGAGGTTTTCATTTAAAAACCTTGGAAAACAAACCACGGAAACACTTTAAAAATCCTTGGAAATCGTTCCAATACTCCGAGGTCACTCATTTTCCAAGGTTTTCTAAACAAAATCCTCGGAAATTATTTTACGAGGTTTTTATTCTGAAATCCTTGGAAATCGTTCCAATACTCCGAGGTCTTACTTTTTACGAGGTTTTTTTTTAAAAAACTCGGAAATTTTTTTACAAGGTTTTTCACCCTCTCCCTATTTTTCCAAGGTTTTTTTAATAGCAAAGTTTTGCATTTTCTTGTTCCAATACTCTGAGGTTTTTTTCCAAGGATTCTGAGCCAAAAACCTTGGAAAATCTACACCCGGGTGCCGACACTTAGATGATGTGTACACAATATTCTATTGATCAAAAGTTAGAAAAAGAAACTGTCATACTTTTTTTGTGAATAAAATATTACGCATTTTAAATTATTGTGCAAGAAGATATTTTTATGGGATACATAGTTTCAATTATTGACATAATAAATCGTGAGTGCATTTGTTTATCTGTGTTACATTCATGTAAAGCTTTATATGTTGGAAGGATTGTGTACATGTTAAACCATTAAAAGCATACGTTTGTAAATGGTTAAAAACTGATGATGATGATGATGATGATGATGATGAATCAGACTGGTTTATTTATACTTAAATCAGATTTATTTTACAAAGAAATGAATAATTTATTTGGATAAAAGCTGGATCCTCCATTCAGCAGCCACCTGTCTTAAGCAGCCAAAATGACTGCATCCCTTGGCTGGCTGCTTAAGACAGTTTCGACTGTATATCCGTATACTGGTAAACCGTTCACCCTTACCGATGGCTGGCTCTTAATAACAGCCCCGTGAGGGTTGTTATTATCAGTGTTTTTTACCAGTACATTTACAAGTAAATTTTATGGGACTTATTAAACTTTTTCTTTTATAACATTAGGTCACTGTTTATGGACAAATTTAGCGTACCTGGCGATATTTCAAACTTTCATTAATTCTGGAAGGCTAAAGAAGAGAATAACAAGTGGATAAAGCTGCTAAAGAAAATGGCAAGAGGTGGCCCAAATTTGGTGAGATAAAACTTTGTTGAAATAAATTTTATCTTTTTGTAGAATTGTAAAACATTGCAAAATTGTAAAGTTTGTTCAAAATTGTATAAAATTTTGCCAACCAAAGTACACAATGATTTTTCAAAATGCAAATTTTTAAGATATTGATTTAAGTTAGGATTTTTTTACCCAGTATGTGAACTCAAGGGCTGCAGTTATTTTCTTGGAATCCACATTTAGTTAATTTACTCTTTTTCTTGGCAGCTTAGTAGTGACCGATAAAATCATAAAAAAAATTCACTATCAAAATCATAGTTATAGAATTCTATAATTTTGATAGTGAACTTTTTTTTTGTAATTTTATCGGTGGTTTTGCATTTTAAGTATCTTACAGTAAGCCTTAGTTTTATCGGTGGTTTTGTATTTAGTATCTTATACTGTAAGCCTAAAATATTTCTGAAATTTCTTTTTAAGGGTGGTAGCAGGGGTCCAGGGGCAGGGTGGGTGGGGTGTCCAAACAAGGATACAGCCACCTGACAATGGTTGGCAGGTGTAGAATCACAGCACCAATTGCTTGGTATTTAACAGTGTCAGCGATTTCAAATACATCTTTTAAGTTTTCTCTCGAATAGCCCTTCTTGATAAAACAGTGTGGCTGCTGTCATTGGAGATTTAATATTATTCAACAGTGTATTGACCTTTACCAAAGAAATTTCTTTGGTCATATAATGTCTGAGCAGTAATTTTCTCTGACCTCACCTGAATGGGCATACTGAGCTTATTTTTTTCCAGTCATCTGTCACTGTTATTGGCCCTGTGACCGAACGGTCAACCAAGTGGGAATCACTGTTGAATATGTTTAAATGATCATGTTTTTTACTTTCCATAGGAGGCCATGAAGAATCTGGATCTGAACCAGTTTCTGGACAAAGATATTGACCTTACTCAGTTCTTCAGTCAACAGGAGCTGGATGATATGGGAATTCATCAGCAAACAAGACTGAAAAACATTGCACAGAATTATGAGATTATGCTCTATATGGGTAAGACTGTTATAGACTTTTCAGGGCTTAATATTTCCTTCTACAGCATGGACTTGTCATAGGGTGAAAGAAAATATTCTTTAAAATCATGCAGTTTTCCTATCTCAAACACAACACTTCACTCATTCATTTTAACTGTAGGAACTTGAGAAAGGAGCCACAGATTGCGGCACATATTTTCGATTGTGTAACGGTTTTTAAGAATGTTTCTGCTACATCTAAATATCTTCTAGTATTATCCGAGTATGTAGCCTCAAAAATATATTATCAATTGAACACAATCTGTTAGTTTTAAAACTAGTTTCAAATTTTATGGTATTATTAAGAAAGACAAGGAGTGACATCGGCCATTTGCCGCAAGATTTGCCTTTGGCTATAATACTTGATTACTATTTTTTTCAGAATTTGTTCCCCTTATCGTTGTCAACTATCAATTTGTCCAGATATAACTTTCACAGTTTGTTGTTTACACTTGTTGACATGTATAGGTGGCATTATAACGGGTGTATTTGTGTTTTGATTTAGTCTTATAATTCTATATTTATTTTTGTTAGGTTTGCCTGCAATTAAACCCGACTTCATGAAAGGTTGTTCTAATAGAGCCAAGGAACTGAAAAGAAGGAACCAGGTCAGCCATACTACCACTCTACCTACTAAGAATAAAATCACATGTTCTGATTCTGACAGTGATGAAACTTGGACTCCAGATTTAGAAAGAAAGAAAAGAGCTAAAGGTATTTTGTGATTGCTCAAGTCAAGCAAGACATTTTCCATTTTGCTTTATATTCTCTTCAAGAAAGCTTAGATATTTTGCAACAAAACAAAATTGAATCTGAGAAAGGAAACATTTTTTAAAGCTCTAGTTTTTTGTGCCAAAAAATTGGAGCTTAATTCTATAGTTACTGTTACTGTTATGTTGTCATTGAAGTTGCTGTCTGAAAATAATGCATTAGGTCATTATTTATTTCTCAATGGATTGCCTTCGTACTTAGAAGTCACAGACACAACAACCTTTTGAACAAGACCTTTCAGTTTGGCCAGACTGAACTTGATCTTAAGTCATAAATGACCTTGACCATTAAGGTTTTAGTTTTGAAGTTTGCTTAAATCATCTTTTTCAGATGGCTGTATCATATGTATTGGTATGTTCTATGATGATGGAAATATAAATGTGTTATAAGCAAAATCACAAGAAAAGTCAAATTCAAATGTATCAAAAAAATAACAGATTTTGTTCTTTTCCATTCCTGCATTTTTCAGGACATAAATCTGTCATTACTCTCAGTGTATGTTGGAAACAACATTAAATTTTGGAGACAGAACTAATATTATGTACTTTTGAAATTGATAAGTTACTTTTACATGGAAATAGCTCATATGTGATGAAAAAATTTAAACCAACTAATTTCATTAATAATTTCTGTGTTTAAATTAATATAATATGGTATATAGAATGTGCATGTCAGGAAGTCATTGAAATTAAGATTTTCGTTAACTTTTTAACATTGCATTGACAGAAGCTAGTGATTTCTCTCCCTATATTTTACAGCCGATTAAAAGTTGTTTCCCTTAGCCCAAATTAGGTATATTTTCTCCTAAATTTTTATATTTTCCGCTGAAATTCCGTCAGTGTGCACAGTCTTTAGCAGAACCATGACTTAACAGCAGCTGACTTAATGTATCAATTAGTTCAGTGATTTTTTTTATAATTTTCAAAACTGTGAACCTGTGGCTTTCTAAAGGGGAGAATATAGTGCGATAAATCAGAAAAGGGGAAAATCAAATTCTAACAACTGAGAATGGTTTACCCACACATGTTTTAGAATATTCAATTTCAATTCAATTTAACATCCATGATACATGCAGGGGCTATCTGTAGAGGACAGCGCTTCTGTCTAACTGCTGTTAAGTCATGTCTCTAGTGAAAAATGTGGAAAGGGCATTTTAGGGGGAAAATAGTAGCATTTTTAGGGGAAAATAAACCTATTTAGGGAAACAACCTTTATTCGGCTGTAAAATGCAAGAAAAAAAATCACTGTAGTTGAACTGAAAGACAAAAAATGTTACTATAGAAAGCCTATATTTATACCATCCATGTTAAATTGAAATTTTATAAAAAATGTATGGGTAAATTTCATTCTTAGTTGTTGGAATTTGATTTCCTGTTGAAAAATGACTCATTTTAACAGTTCACAGTCCTTAATTTATATATGTGATAAATAGAATATTATATTAACAAAAATTATTTTCCAGAAAATAAGGTTTATCCTACTTTCTCAGCACCAAGAAAGCGAAAATGTAAAGTTGATGATATAAGAGAGAAAAAAACCAAGGTAAGTGATTAGTAGTCATATCATAGCAAATAGAGGTTTCTTTGAGGCAATTTTAGCTCACCTAATCACAAAGTGCTCAGAGGTGAGCATTTGTGATGGCAGCATGCATGCCCACCTTCAGTGGTTCCTTATTATCCACATCATCTAGCCCTAAACCAATGTGGGTTTTGACTAAACTTCACAGGATATACAAAGGTAGCCCTCTATTTAAATGGTTTAAGAATAAGTAGGTAACAGGAGTTAAAACTAGACTTTTTTTTCATCCGAAACTTCAATACACACATTTTGAAGACTTACATTGTAAACATGATTAAAATATCTGCTGAGAATACAGTGTTAATCGTGCCATCAGTAGTGAAAAATGACAGAAAATCAGTACAATGGGAAACAAAGGCGCCAAACTTGTATTGGCACAGAAACAAAACCTGTCTGTTAGGCTGATATGTATTTAGTCGTTGTCTGTTGAGGTAAAACTATTATGGACAGGGACAGGTTTTATAATGATGTTCAAAATCTATTTTTACAATAAAATTGCCTTAAATGCATAGATATGACAAACAGTAATAAATTACATGTATTTTTTTAACCTTAATTGACATATTCAATACTCAACTATACCAACATCAACTATAATACCTAAATCTACAATTGATAAGCCCTAAAATGTTTGAATGTCATGAAATGAAATGTTCTTGTACATAAAAAATACAGTGGTTGTTTAAAATAGTTCTTTGAGTATTGTGTATTGTAAATTAAATTAAAATCAAGCTGCGGTCGTTGTTGTTGCTTTTTGTCTGCAGTATAAACTTGTAGTACAAATATTAAGACTGGTCAAATGATGAATACATGTATATAATTATAAAAAATGGTCTTAAAAACTTTTTACCAAACAATGATAAATTGAAAATGTAAATACATGTACAATCCTTTATGTAACTTAAAGATATTATAAAGTTGACATTTATTACCCATGTCCAATACCTGATACAAAATGGCCAATCATGTGGACCAATGACCTGAGGTTCTTTCAAATCTTGGTCAGATGTCTGATTTGATGTCAAGAGTATAGATATTTGGCATGCAGAATTTGCAGTAGAACAACACATTGTGGTATGTATTTCATTTGGTGCAAAAACACCAATTAGAATTGACTATCATCAAGTCCGTTTTTTGCATTAAATTGCTGTTGTAATATCTCTGTGACAATTGAATAAGTTGGGCATGTGTAGAGAAATTGGTAATTCTTATAACTGGTTAGTTTATCCAGGAAATCTGGGTATATTGACCACCGGGAGATATGACAAAAAAATGTATGAAATCAGCATTCAAATCAAACAAATTAGTCTGAATTCCTCAAAACAATCACTCAGAGAATGATTGTCACAAGGCCTAGTTGCATCTAATGATATGCTTGTATATTAGGGAATTAATATGATAAATTTGAAAATTTCTATTTTAGGTCTTGAAGAAATCTAGTGACAGTACAAAGAAAAGGGTATATGAATTTAGAGAAAGAAAAGCAGTGAATTTCATGCATCTTGAAGCTCCAGATGATGACCATTTTCTGTGTATGATATATTTTTGAATAGGATACATTATTATTAGTATCATTATAGTACACTGTAAAAAATTTACATAACATAAGAATTTTGGTTACACCTTTAAGCAAAACTAATCAAATGTTACATGTCACAGTTTTAACAAAATATAGCTGGGTTAAACGTGACTGATCTTCAAAAGTTAAAATCACAAAATTCATGTTCCATCAAATTGATAGTGATATTTTTCACACTTGTTTTGTAATTGGTTAAAATGTACAGGTGTGAAATGGGGCCCTATTTTGGCCTCAAATTGGCCTTGAAAACCAATATTTCATCACTTTTTTAATGTATCAAAATGTTTAAATAGACAATATTTATTTACTGAGATTTGATGCCATTTACACTTAAATTTTAGCTTATGTTGTAAAATGCAGTTTTAACTGATCATCAACTGTTGGTAAAATGCAACCTAAGTAATAATTATATTAATAGTTTTGCGGTGGCCATCTGTAGAGCAATTACTCCCTTTACAGCAGTTGTATCATTATTATACACCAACAAACAGTTTTCCAACTAACAGAGCAGACAATAATAGTTGTGTTTTGTCAGTAAAGACATACATGCCATAACGTCCCGGATGCCCGGGATTGTCCCGGAAATCGGATGTCTGTCCCGGAGATGTCCCGGGCATCGATTTGATCCCAGAAAAAAAATCATGATATTTTGCAAAATATTCATAAATTTTCTTAAATCAAATCTCGCACATTTCACCTCTAGATCGTAAAACATATTCTGACCTGGTACACATAATACACAGGAACGTTGACACAAGTTTACAATATACAGCCCCCCAATTATCGACTGTCGATTCCCCTCGGCAATACTTTCTTCATGCATCGGCAATTAACATTCTCTGTTGAATTCGGCAGCGTTTAATGGTCGGGTTAATTAATGGTTTACGGCCCTTAACAATTATCGTTAATCCCCGATAATCATTAATTTTTAGATCAATCGCTAACTTGCCGAAAGTCTAATTATTACAAACAATGTAAATATATCTATCAAATAAAAAATTAAAGGTGTCAAATAAATCACCTTGCTGTGTTTGTTTTTATGACTGGAAGAATTGCATTACGTGACATGTAGTAATCATCACGACTTTAAGATACAACGGGTGAACAACATGGCTGCGCCCATTCACCGGGTTTATAATAAATAATAACTTTCAACTTACTTGCTTTTAGGGAATAATAAATGAAATAAAGAAATACTATAAAATGATAATTATGTCGACCTAAAAGACTACTTATAAAACTAGTAAGTTAACTGTTTATCATTAAAATTCTGGAGAAAGTCGTCCAAATTGATAACGTTATACGATTGACACCCCCCCCCCCCCCCCCCCCCCCCCCCCCCCCCCCCCTTTTCCACAACTGCCTACACATCCATTATTGCCGCGATGAAAAGTGTCCCGGAAAGCTGTCCAAAAATTATGGCATGTATGGTAAAGATGTTACTCTTGAATTGTCTTTCATTTGATATTCCATGGTTATTGTACATGAACTTCATATTGAAACTATTTATTGGTGTGTTAAAGTTTGGAAAGAGACGGTAATTCTTCACAGAGATTGCAAACTGTATCAATGATTAATATCATAATGAAAATTTTTGACAGTGCCTTATAATTTCTTTGTTTAAATTTGCACAATATTCATCATCAAATGATATTTTTTCCTCAATATAAATCATATGTTAAATTAATTAATTCATGTTTTAGACTGTGAGGATTGTAACAAAGAGTATGACATGGATTGTCCTATACATGGACCATTGCAGTATATTAGAGATACAGTGGTAATCTTTTATTTCTATAGGAGTTTTTTCTTTTTCTAAAGATCATTTAAAGTTCCCAGTAATTGATAAATGGTAAATTTTGATAAGACATGTAAACCTGAAGAATATTAAATTATCAGATTCAGCGCACTTAAAATTATCATGACCTTTCCGCCATCCTTTATATCTAGTCTTCTGTTCACTATGATGAGTTTGTATGTAATAAATTTTTATGTAAAAGACGACAGATGGCCAGTGTTGATTAAAAAACAACAATGTTTACTGGAGCATATAACTGGATAAATAAGAGTTGTCAGTTCAATAGATTTGCACATAAGTAGCAATGGTTTATATTGTCAAAGTAAAGCATTAACTGATTATCACAAATGTTCAGGATCACAAGGTACCATTGTGCTAACACTTTTGCGAATTGACTTCAAAAAGATGCATGATAAACTAAAACTATGAAGTGGACAAGATTTTAAACTTCAGACCTTTGACCTCTAAGTGTGGCCTTGACCTTAGAGTTGGGGTTCTTGATCTGCCCATAACAATGAATCATCATACTACACATTTAATTTACCTAGTAATTTCAAAATCCCTGGTGCATAACAGAGTGACCTTGAAAGCTAGAGATCTAGGTCTAAGTATGACACATCATCACATCATGCTTAGCATTTGTGCTAAATCATTACAAGATCCCTTGATGCATGAAAGTGTAATGGGCTGAACAAGATTTTTAACTGCTCTTCGACCCCTCAGAGTCACCTTGATCTTTGAGCTAGGGTTCTAGGTCTAGCAATCATGCTGCCAAGTTATTTTAAAGTCCCTTTTGGCATGAGAGAAAGTAATGGGTGAGACAAGATTTCTAACTGCTGACCTTTGACCTCTAAGTATGAGCCAGGTGTCTGAGTCTTGGATATGCATGACACTGCATCTTTCTGCCCAATGTTTCAAAATTGCTTGAGGTATGACAGTACTAGGCCACTGCCCAGACAATGTTTTATAACTGACGACCTTAGACCTCTAAGTATGATGTTGACCTTTGAGCTAGGCGTCTAGGTCTTGTCATGATACACTAATTGTGCTTAACATTTTTGCCAACTCCAGTGCATGTGCATGGTTGAGTTACAGACATGTTACTAAAAAAGTATATACTGCTAGTAGATGTATGCATTTGATATGAAAAAACAGTGGAAATTGTGGGTGTGTCTTTGTCATGTGCACACATTTCAAGTAAACTATATAAAGTTATTTTTTGTTACACAGGTTAGCCTAGAATATGATGAAGATAGAGCTTTACATACATTGCCTCCAGGTTTGGTTGTTAAGCCATCTAGTATTATTGGGGCTGGTTTAGGCGTGTTTACTGAGAGAGAAATTCCACCTCGTGTCATGTTTGGACCATATGGAGGTGTTGAGATACACGATGAGATGACAGCTCATGACTCTGGCTACTGTTGGCAGGTAAAAACTTTCACATAGAGTTCATGATTAGATTTTATGGTTTTATTTCTCAAAGGAGTGTGGCCTGTAATTTTATAGCCAATATTGTTTCTATTTTTCAGTGTTATGTTTGGATAGTACTATATGTCAGTATATAACTGTTAACTTATACGAAACAATTATTAGCAGCCCAATTCAGAACACTTGGTAGAGCTGGTAACAGGTATTCAGAATGACCTTGGTTGAGTTCCATTCGGACTGCACATTTTTCTTGCCCTGTGACAGTGACATATTTTATTTCAACTATCTTCAGATAATAATTTTTGATTTATCAGCTTGCTATTTTTTTTCATTTGTCTATTGGGTCAATTAGTTGATGTACGACACACTGTTATAAAAGCATCTTAAAAAAATCTTTTATTTGTTTACCATATCTTACTTTTTGGCTAAGTACAAAATGTCTAAACCTCAAAGAAAGAATTATCTTAACTTCAAATAAAGAAAGCATAGTTACCAAAATTTGAATTGTTTAATCAACTGTTGAGTTTAAAACTCTTAGCTAGAAAAAACTTGTATCCCATTACATAATCAAGCAACATATATTTTGGAAGTTTGGCTTATTTTTGTTGTTGTAGATTTATGCAAATGGCAAACCGAGCCATTTTGTGGATGCTAGAGATAAAGTAACTTCAAACTGGATGAGATATGTGAATTGTGCACCCAGTGAATCTGAACAAAATCTTGTAGCATTTCAGTTCAAGGGCAATATTTATTATCGGTCATACAAAACCATATTCCCTGGAACTGAACTGCTTTGCTGGTATGGCAATGAATATGGGAGGGAACTTGGACTTGTGCGAGATAAAAACCTACTAATTAGACCTAAACTTGTAAATGGACAAGGTACATGTATTTTGTTCACATTTTTTCTCAATAGATTAATTATAAAAGGAATTACAAGGCTGTTTTTTTTTTGTTCTTGATAAAGATTTTTTATTTTAATTCACTGACTTATTTGCGAAAATATATGCCAAATGTAGGCCTTTTCTAAATTCACAGATCTGTTGAAATGCATCTTAAATATCTACTGTCAGTGAAAAGTGAATGCTTTTAAAGGTTTTGTGCAATAATCCCATTTCTCTTTTCTTGTAACCATGCTAAATTTAAAAATAAAGTCTGCTCTTATTAAACATTAAGTAAAAATCATTGCTATTTGTAAAATTGTAATACTAAACAATATTTTACAAGGAAAAGTAGATCTACAAAAAGTACAGAAGTGACAAATGAAAAAAAAATCATGAAAAACTTAATATTATTTTCAGAGTGCTTTTCCTGTGTGTTTTGTAAGACATCATTTACCACTGCAGTTTATAATGTTAGACATCTCCTTCGCATGCATGGTAAAAACAAACTTTCTCAAACTGATATTCAAGTGCTTGATGCATGGCTACGAAGAAATGATGCAGAGAGATATTCTAAAGAAAGAAAAATAAAACGTTATATGAGTGTTAAAAATCACTCTGGACAACCTACAAAACCAAATCAAAATTTTCAGCAAGTAGGTCAAGATACACATCAAAATGCTGAAGAAAAATTGTGGAAGGAAAATAATCTTTATTGCACAGATAGTAAAAGTGCAGTATATAAAAGTAAACATGAGGGAGAGAAACGTTATATATGTGGTGTTTGTGATTATGCAAGTAGTAATAGTGGTAACCTAAAGGCACATAAGAGAATACATACAGGAGAGAAACGTTATAAATGTGATGTTTGTGATTATGCAAGTAATACAAATAGTAACCTAAAGGCACATAAGAGAATACATACAGGAGATAAATGTTTTAAATGTGATGTTTGTGATTATGCAAGTACTCAAAGTAGTGCTCTAAAGACACATAAGAGAATACATACAGGAGAGAAATGTTTTAAATGTGATGTTTGTGATTATGCAAGTAATTTTAGTTGTGCTGTAACGAGACATAAGAGAATACATACAGGAGAGAAATGTTTTAAATGTGATGTTTGTGATTATGCAAGTAGTGATAGTAGTCACATAAAGACACATATTAAGAGAATACATACAGCAGAGAAATGTTATAAATGCGATATTTGTGATTATGCAAGTAATGACAGTGGTAATCTAAAGGCACATAAGAGAAAACATACAGGAGAGAATTGTTTTAAATGTGATGTTTGTGATTATGCAAGTAATTATAGTTGTGCTCTAAAGACACATAAGAGAATACATACAGGAGAGAAATGTTTTAAATGTGATGTTTGTGATTATGCAAGTAGTGATAGTAGTCACATAAAGACACATATTAAGAGAATACATACAGCAGAGAAATGTTATAAATGCGATATTTGTGATTATGCAAGTAATGACAGTGGTAATCTAAAGGCACATAAGAGAAAACATACAGGAGAGAATTGTTTTAAATGTGATGTTTGTGATTATGCATGTAATCAAAGTGGTAATTTAAAGAGACATAAGAGAATACATACAGGAGAGAAATGTTTTAAATGTGATGTTTGTGATTATGCAAGTAATGACAGTAGTGCTCTAAAGACACATAAGAAAAAACATACAGAGAAATACTATAGATAAAATAGAATAAGTTTAGAATGTGATTTTTCAATGAATAACCTTAAAATATTGAATGAATTTTTGTTTGATGTTGTTGTTGTTGTTGTTTGGTGTGTATTCACAAAAAGTGCCAAATGTAGACTACCTCATGTTTTAGAACACTTTTAATTAGTCATTGAAAATAATGAATATCGAATAATTTCATGTCTTTAGTTATGTACACATTCACTTCTCAACATTAATTTTGTGTGCATGCATGCTAATAGTTACAGTAACACAAAGAAAATAATTCAGATTTCAGTAAGTATACCAATGCTATCAGATTGGATATGTTCCAACTAAGAAAATAAGTACCTAATATGGGTGTGTTTTGTCCAGAAATAAAAAAAATTAAAAGCTATTTGTCATTGTAGGGCATTTTGAGAATTTGAAAATGATTCTTTCAAAAAACACTTTTTCCAAAATTTCACTTTGAAACCACCTCTATTAGATGGGAAATGTTCTAACTAAGAAAATGAGTACCAACATGTGTGTATTTTGTCCAAAAAATAAAAAGTTAATGCTATTATTCTCTCTTATCAATGTAATGCACTTAAACATTTTGTAAAAAAAATATTACAACATGGTTCATTGATAAATTGGCATCAGGTGGTGATATTGAAGGTGTTAGTTTGCAATTGGTAAAATTACAAGTCTGTACGACTTTATTAAAACAAATGTCATATCTTTTAAAAGTAAAACAAAGGTAATATTTTAAAATGAATCTGCTTTGTTATGCTGTTGGTCTAAAAGCTACTGGTTTTTGAATTTTACAACCTGTTTTGGACTAAAAAAACAACCAAATGCAGTTAACAGATTAATGTGACACCCTTGATAAACATGTATATTAAAATTATATTATACATAGGTGCTACATATGTTTTTAAAAAAAGTCAAGTAATTAACATATTCATTTATATTTAATACCCTAATATAATATTACAAACATGGAATGTGCAAATCTTTTCAATAATTTTTTGGTTCAATTGAATTTTAACATTATCGAAGAAATAGAAATTCCTTATTTTTTGGGTTGAAACTATCTCTAAAATAAATATTTCTATTTTTTTGTTAAAACCAATAAATGGTCAGAAATACTTAAAAGAAACAGAGTGTTAAAGTTTAAGAAAGAGTTTGATAAATTTTGCATACATTTTTATTTGGTCCCCATAAAAATGGAGACTAAAGCTGTAATCTGTATATATAAAGCTCATGATACACAGTGTTTTTAGCTCGACTATTTGATAAGAATAAGTAGAGCTATTGAAGTAACCCGAGCGTCAGAATAACCACTTTATGTTAAAGTTTTTGTAATACCTGACCTCAAATATTTTCAAAGTCCATTGACATATGGCTTTTAAACTTTGGACACTTGTTCACAGTCATGACCCCAACCTCTAGACAGGAGGAGGTAGCTGTATCAAGCATTTTGACAGAATTATGCCCCTTTTTGGACTTAGAATTTACGTTAAAGTTTTTGTAATACAGTAGAACTTCGGTAAGTCGAAGTTGAAGGGACTTGCGTAAAAACTTCGACACATCGGGACTTCGACTCATGAATCGCGCTCAATTCCATGACAAAATTTCAACCCGTGACTAGTCCTAATTATAAGATCTATAACGTAACCTATTTCATGTTTTTCCATCATTAATCTGATATTTACATTTTATAATGATAAATATAGCATGTTAAATGACGTTTTTCACGGCTAATTATTTGGACTACCCGTTGACATATACAAAAGAGTTACAAAAGGCGTATTTATACGAAAGGGTGATAACTTAACTTAGCTTATAGTAAATATTTCGCGTGTTATTCTCACGCGACACCGGGTCAAGGATGTTTTCAAATGAAAGAAGTTCTAACTGTTTACTTTCAAATACCACTACGGTAATTAAAATAGTTACGATTAAAGCATTTTATCACACATTTTATCGCAAACAAAGGCTGTTTGAACACACGGCTGTGTAATTAACACCTATCACACAAGTTGTTGGAAATCGTCTTCGTAGCCAGATAAGGTGTGAAAAATGTCTCGAGATCAAAGTTGTCAAAAAATACGACTTCGACTTATTTGTGGTAAATTGCACTAGATTTACTTTATACGGACCACGAAAAAACCTCGACACATCGAAAAATTCGACACATAAAATTTCGACTCATAAATAGGTTTTTATAAGGAATATATAGGGGGAAAGTCGGGACTTTCATTTTTCTTCGACACATCGAGAAAATCGACTAATCGAAGTTCGATTCATAGAAGTTCTACTGTACCTCAAATATTTTCAAAGTTCATTGACAATGGTTTTGAAACTTTGCACACTTGTTCACCATTATGACCCCAACCTGTAGACAGGAGGGGAAAACTCTATGTAGCATTTGGCAGAATAATGCCCCTTTTTCAATTTAAATTTCAGTTTGCATAACACCTCAAATATTTTCATATTCTATTGATATCTGGCTTTGAAACAAGTTTGAAATTTTTTACTCTTCTTTGAGAGCATAAAACATGTACTAGGACTAATTTCTTCAAGGCCTGTAACATGGATTTAAAGAAAAATTTTACCCTTTTGTTAACTTAGAAAATTTTACATTATCAAGGCTTTTTTTCTATCAAGCACTAAGAATAGTCGAGCGTTGCTGTCCTACCGACAGCTCTTGTTTTATATGCAATGTATCAAACTCAGGGTTTTTGCCAGGATTTTGGGAGCATGACCCATACCCATGGAATTGGGAATTTCAGCGATGTTTTATTAAAATTGGGGAAAAAATGCATGACTGAAATTTTGCAGTGATTAAATGAATGCAAACAATCACTGTCTTGGATGACATCTTCAAACATTTAATCACTATTAACAGTGAAGAAGCCTTTATTTCAAAGATTTATGGTTTTTAATTCAATATTTTTATGCCCCCATTTCGAAGAAAAGGGGGTATATTGCTTTGCACTTGTCGGTGCGTCGGTCCGTTGGTCCGTCGGTCCGTAGACCAAATGGTTTCCGAGTGATAACTAAAGAACCCTTAGGCCTAGGAACTTCAAACTTGGTATGGTGATTGGTCATGACCAGTAGATGACCCCTATTGATTTTGGGGTCAAGGGGTCAAAGGTCAAGGTCACATTGACCTTGTAAGCAAAAACGGTTTCCGATCAATAACTAAAGACCTTAAGGCCTAGGAACTTCAAACTTGGTTTGGTGATTGGTCTATGATCAGTAGATGACCCCTATTGATTTTGGGGTCAAGGGTCAAAGTCAAGGTCACATTGACCTTGTAAGCAAAAAACGGTTTTCCGATCAATAACTAAAGAACCTTAAGGCCTAGGAACTTCAAACTTGGTTTGGTGATTGGTCATGATCAGTAGATACCCCTATTGATTTTGGGGTCAAGGGGTCAAAGGTCAAGGTTCACATTGACCTTGTAAGCAAAAAACGGTTTCCGATCAATAACTAAAGAACCTTAAGGCCTAGGAACTTCAAATTTGGTATGGTGATTGGTCATGATCAGTAGATGACCCCTATTGATTTTGGGTCAAGGGGTCAAAGGTCAAGGTCATATTGACCTTGTAAGCTAAAACGGTTTCCGATCAATAACTAAAGAACTTAAGGCCTAGGAACTTCAAACTTGGTATGGTGATTGGTCATGATCAGTAGATGACCCCTATTGATTTTGGGGTCAAGGGTCAAAGGTCAAGGTCACATTGACCTTGTAAGCTAAAACAGTTTCCGATCAATAACTAAAGAACCTTAAGGCCTAGGAACTTCAAACTTGGTATGGTGATTGGTCATGATCAGTAGATGACCCCTAATTGATTTTGGGTCAAGGGGTCAAAGGTCAAGGTTCACATTGACCTTGTAAGCAAAAACGGTTTCCGATCAATAACTAAAGAACTTTAAGGCCTAGGAACTTCAAACTTGGTATGGTGATTGATCATGATCAGTAGATGACCCCTATTGATTTTGGGGTCAAGGGTCAAATGTCAAGGTCACATTGACCACTTGGGTAAAAACGGTTTTCTGATCAATAACGAAAGAACCCTAGGCATAGGAACTTCAAACTTGGTATGGTGATTGAGTCATGACCAGCAGATGACCTCTATCGATTTTGGGGTTAAGGGGTCAAAGGTCAAGGTCACATTGATCTTGTAGGTAAAAACTGTTTCCGATCAATAACGAAAGAACTTTAGGCCTAGGGATTTCAAACTTGATATGGTGATTGGTCATGATCAGTAGATGACCCCTATTGATTTTGGGGTCAAGGGGTCAAAGGTCAAGGTCACATTGATCTTGTAGGTAAAAACTGTTTCCGATCAATAACGAAAGAACCCTTAGGCCTAGGGCCTAGGGATTTCAAACTTGATATGGTGATTGGTCATGATCAGTAGATGACCCCTATTGATTTTGGGGACAAGGGGTCAAAGGTCAAGGTCACATTGACCTCTTGGGTAAAAACGGTTTCTGATCAATAACGAAAGAACCCTAAGGCATAGGAACTTCAAACTTGGTATGGTGATTGGTCATGACCAGCAGATGACCTCTATTGATTTTGGGGTTAAGGGTCAAAGGTCAAGGTCACATTAATCTTGTAGGTAAAAATTGTTTCCGATAAATAACTAAAGAACCCTTAGGCCTAGGAACTTCAAACTTGGTATGGTGATTGGTCATGACCAGCAGATGACCCCTATTGATTTTGGGGTTTAAGGGGTCAAAGGGCAAGGTCACATTGACCTTGTAGGTAAAAATGCTTTCCAATAAATAACTTAAGAAACCCTAAGGCCTAGGAAACTTCGAACTTGGTATGGTGATAGGTCATGACCAGCAGATGACCTATTGATTTGGGTCAAGGGGTCAAAGGTCAAGGTCACATTGACCTTGTAGGTAAAAAACGGTTTTCCGATCAATTAACTAAAAAAGCTTAGGCCTAGAAACTTCAAACTTTGTATGATATTGGTCATGACCAGCAGATGACCCTATTGAGTTTTGGGTCAAGGGGTCAAAGGTCAAGGTCACATTGACCTTGAAGGTAAAAACGGTTTCGATCATTTAATTAAAAACGCTTAGGCCTAGAACTTCAAACTTTGTATGATGATTGGTCGTGACCAGCAGATGACCCCTATTGAGTTTCGGGTCAAGGGGTCAAAGGTTAAGGTCATGACCAGTAGATACTTGATAACCCTTATTAATTGTTTGATCACTGGGTCAGAAGTCATGCATAATAACCTTATCACATGACTAATTGGCTGCTGATAGGGGGCATACATGTTTTACAAACATATCTTGTTATTATGTAACTTTCAATTAGGGACTTTTTCCTGTGGATTAGGATTATATCTAATAGTTATTCATTGAAAGTGGTTTTAACATTACATAAATAGGTACAACATGATGTTTATATGAAGATGTATATTATATTATCTATGAACTCATTATAGAATGTTTATCAGTTCAAATATGTTCTTTTGCTTTATACAATGTATGTTTAGGACAGTTCAGACGTCAGTGTGATATGCCTTTATCTCAATGGCAAATAGAGTAAGGTTGCCAACTTTTAACCAATTTTCAATCACCTCTGTGCAGTTTGTGTCTGTAAAAAGACTTTAGATATTCCTCCATCAGATTTACTGATGGTTTGGTGGTCCTACTCTGTTGCTTTACACATGACTGAAAATAATGCATGAAAGGCACTCGAGGTCTTCCTTCAAAATTAACAATAGAAAGTCACTGTATCATTAACAGTGCTCAGGTGTGCAACCATATGACTTGTATATCAGTGTTATTTTTCAATATCTCATTAAAAAGCTCATTCAGATTGTATAATTATAACCTCAGTAGCCTGATACAGATTTTCATTTTGAATGAAGTAAAAGATCTTGCGTAGCAGTAGCTCTTTACATATACTGAATTTTGGCTCAAGTTTTTGTTTTCTTTCTTTCCTTATTAAGCATTTACTGAAGTCGTGATTTCTTAAGAAATTGTCAGATAATAATATTTTGTATATACATGTAATTGGATTTACACATATTTTCTCTATAATTCTGCCTTTCTTTGTTTTTGTTCTTTCAAGATTGAATTTTGAACACATGTTTATTGCCAAATTTGTTGAATATTCCTAATTTTATGTGAAAATTACCAAACAATATTGTGTATGTAAATGTTATTTAATTATGGCATTGATTTTCTGTACAGCATTTAGTACATTACAAAAAGTAAAATTGTGAAATATGAATGCATATACATGTTTCAGATGAAAATAATTGTCATTATTTAGAGAAATGACAATGTAGCTATAGTAGTTGTCAGTATTTTACATGCACATGTAAATTTATTTTTATTGAATTTGTTTATGAAATGTACATTGTGTTTTGACAATGTTTTACAAATTATTTGCACGATATGGCAAGTTATGTGTTGTTGTGCCATAAAAATACAGTTAATTTATTTGTTTTTCTGTCTTATTGTTTAATACATTGAAACATCGATAAAAATGTATTTTTCACCCAAAGTGTCTAACCATGCTTAATATATTAAATGGATTTGTCCATCTTTCAATTCGGACCAAACCATTCACTTTTTTTTTTGGAAAAAATTGAAAGCAAATTCATGTTTGCCCTTTCTAAAAGAGTAATGAAATAATAATCATTACTGTAACTTTAAATAATTTAGCCTGCCCCTCAGACACATTAGATAATGAAAATCTATTGCCTCCAAAATTATGTAGCTTATCAACAGCAAGCGGAAGTAAAAACCTGTTCAATGGAACAAATGCCCCTTGTTGTTAGCCAAAGTGAATCTACTGGTTTTTTTCTCTATCATAAATGATTACTTTATCATGTTTTCAAAGAAACTGCTAACTGCTTGCCAAGACTTTTTTAACAAATCACAATGATGGTGAAAAATGACAAATTTTGGTGTTTTGATTTATTGAATGGCTGAAGACACTCAACTGTTCAATAAAATAGAAATGTGGGTGTTCTATTTTGAATTATGGCTATAGATATGATTATGTTCTCTCTTTTTTTTGTAATAAAATATTTTTATCTTAAAGCAGCACACTTCAAGATTCATGCTTATTGTCATGAAAATTTTGAAAATGTATTTGAATGTGTAATATTGTGAAGGCAATTTACACATTATCAATGGCACTTACCAACCACGTCAATTGCCAAAAAAAACTGGTCAAAATATGCATAAAAAGCCTTTAATGTGTTAATAACACTGTAGAAATATAGTTGTAAATACTGAAAAATCAGTCATTAAATTGCAA